CTTTTTGCTTTCATATTACTGCTTCGATATTTAGGATTTTTATTATTTTAAAGTTATTTTTCATACAATTTTATTTTTCTCCCTTTTCATTTTATTTTTATTTCTTATTTTTGTCTATTTTTCTTTGAGAATTTTTTATTTTTTACGCCTTCATTTTTCCTTTTTCTCATATCATTCACTCGGGTGCGCCGCTGCCCTGCTATTCGCTGTCATATCAATGAACTCAGTTTTTCCCAGCAGTCCTTTGTGCGACTGTTTGTTGTTGTTGCTGTTGCTTCTACCAATTTGGTTGTTTTAGCCTAATTACCGATTGTTGCCGTGGACGCTTTATGACCCTTCATCAATCCTTTTTGCCCGCTTCAATTAATACCCAAAACGCAAATGGGAACAACAACAACAGTAACCAGCAGTTACGTTCGTTCGTTCGTTGAGTTTTTTATTTCTATTTTCTGTTATTATCTACATTTTCTACACTCTCCCTCAATAATAAAAAAATCTTGTTGTTGTTCTTGTTCCAGCGCTGGTGGCTTACTGCTGACTATCGCTGGCTGCTTGTTGTTTTTGTCTAATTTAATTGTTATGGTTATTGTAATTCATTTGTAGTTGTCGTTGTTGTTGTAATCATTTAATGTTGTTGTGCGCACCTGTGTTACTTTTATTACATAACCGCCCGATTTTTTTCACATTTCAAACTCTCCGCCTCTTCTATCTTTCTGCAGCGACTGCGGGATGGCTGCACCGCCGCCTTGTTGCCTCGTCAAACCCAGTCGCTTCACTTACCATATTCCAGGTGGCATGCCGGCTATCTGGCTGTGACCTAGACCAGCTCGTTTAACTGAACCGTATCCGCGCCGCATTCTTTCAGCTGCAATTCATTCGCTTTCCTTCGCTCTTCTTTCTATACAACGCTGCGCTGATCTGCTCTGCTTTGCTTTGCTTTGGGTTTTCTGTGCATTTGTGAGGGCCAACGGTCGGTAATAGGGCGTTGAAAAAAAGGTTTCTCGTGCTGGCGCTCTCATTTGTTGCGCTCTAATGGCATTTTTAATTTTTTTTTTTTAGTTTGTCTATTTTCACTTCCCGTTCGCCAGCTTACCGTTGGTTACCGGTTGCTGCTGCTCGCACAAATAAATTCAAATTATTTTCTATTTAGCTGAACAGGGCATTATGCGTTGTTGTATTTTTGTTTTTGATTTTTTTTCAAGGAAAATTTTGCGGAGTCAAGGAAATCGGATTTTTTTCTATTTAATTTTTTTTTTTAATTTTTTTTTTGTTTTTTTTTTTGGGAAGGGTTATTTTAATATTTATTTAGAAAAATGGAAATATTATTTGTTTTCATATTTTTAATGAAGCTCTATTTAAATACATACATACATAAAAGCATTGCAAGAACTCTCTTTCCATCATTTAAAAGTAATCCTTGGAAAATCTATGCCACAGCTGATGCGAAGTTAATGAGTTCAGAAGCTGAGGTTGTCGATTTAAGTGCTAATTAATTGGTAATTTCGGTTTGAAAAACATCTAAGGAAGTAAAGTTGTTCCGCTTCCGAGGAAAGTGAAAGCTATTTAAAGGTAAACTAACTTGGTAAGGCACTCATTGCAGCTGGCGACACCTTCTACAAATTTTATACTCCATCGCTTCATACGAATATCCGGCCATTCATGCCTTTTTTGAGTCTTTATTGCTGTAATGATGTCAAAAGACTAAACAAAGGCGTAGCTCCCTGACTATCTACGCCTAAGTTGTTTGCAGAGCGGCGATGGAATATTCTAGAGGATGGCTTAGCTTGGCGAGATCCTTAAATGCGGGGACCGAGTAGAAAAGTGTTTGATGTTAAGCGGAAACCTGCCAAGCCGGTTCAATATTTATTAAGTTGGAAAGTACTCTAATGGCAGGGTGTTGCTATGACTTCGGAGTGTGGAGTTGCAATTAAATCCTTGGAGCTTATAAAGCCAAAAGACTTCCAATTCGTAGGCCTAATGATAGTCCACAACCTACTTACTCACCCACCTTGATCGACTCAACCAGCCGATACTGCGTCGAAAATTTTCAAAGATGGACAATTATCTGACCTCTCCAGCATTATTTCTGCTGACCATCAAAGGATGACCATGTCCTGTAGAATATTCTTGCGCTCACTTGGTCCAGTAGTTCGATGATTGATGTTGAGAGTGAGGTGGAGATTTCTTACAGCTGTTAAAGCAAATGCCCTGCTTTTGCGAGGCATTCTTCGGTAGGGTGGTTATGCTCTCCCTTATACAGGACCTCTAAGTTTAGTTGAAAGAAGTCTTCTACGTAAAAAACTTGGTGACAGGGGATAACTTTCGAATGTCTCATGCGAATCTTCTGTTATTATTAAGAAAGAAAAATATTGCACTTCCTATTCGTAAGTAAATGTGCGCTAAAAGAAAACGTCTCACAAGTCTTTTAATATCTACTTTAGAGTTCTCTGTCTCCTGCCTCTCCCACAAAAAAGTCACACACTAGAAGGAAGGAAATATCGTTTACTTTTGATGAATTAATAACTGTTAATGAACTCTCTCTTTATATTAAGCACTGTTCGTGACCGTCAGTCGGTATTTGGAAGTTATGTTAATATGTTTGAAGGATGTTATTATCTACCAGCATTCTGCGCTGTTGCCCAGAACAATTCTTGACAACATGTTGCGCAACATAGATCTGCTTGCTATAAGGAAGATATTTAACAGAGATTTTTAGAATATTCAACGTAATCTTCATCAGTCTTAGAGCTTAACGAAGAAGCAGTAAAAAAATTTTGAAATGAAAAGAAAATGAATAAAATATTACAAACAAAAATTTATGAATATTATATAAAGTACCAAAAATTATAATTTTCTCATATTCATAAAAAACGAACTGAAGAGTAGCTTATGAAAAAAACTAAATAAATAATTGCTATATCGCGTAGAGTTAATGTAGTTACATATCCAATCCTTTGCATTCTCTTCAAATATTATTTATTAGTCTATTAACTCTCATTGCAGTAGAAAGTAATTGGTTCCACAAACTGTTGTCGTCCTAGGATTCGCAACAGAAATAACACTTGTGCTCTAACACCCACATTATTCGTATATTCAGACAGTTTTCGAAAATGCCACATTACCTTGCGCTCTCTCTCTCTCTCTCTCACTCACGCACTGTTAAAATAGTTGGCCACTCGAATTTTAACCCATTTAGCACCCAAACCTTAACGCATGTGCAGTAGGCTCACAATCCAAGCAAATCGCCATAGAATGCAATACAACAAATGTAAACGCCGAGAGAGTGTAAATAAAACAAAAATTGAATGCACTTTAAAGCAGATTTCGAAGTGTGAAATGTATAACGAATACCAAATAGTCATAAACTGGTTCCACGTCGTCGTACATACGTTCCACACGCACGCTCAACATCTTAACAGCGCCCAGTGACTGGAATGCCAGCCAATGTTTTTGACTGCAACCGAGCGCTATGTAGTGCCGCTTCGAATCGCACGAACCAGCCAGCAGTATTGTCATAAAGTGCGTGTGTTGCTCGCTTTCGCTGCTTCGTGTGCCACTCGTTTGGCTGTACGACTGCTGTAGGCTCACCAAAACTGATTCTGCTGATTGTCGAATGGTCTGCTGCATTTCATAGTAAATTTCGAAATTCAGTGTTGCCGGGATATTCAAGCGATTTAGTATTATCGACGGAACGTTGCGAGTGGTTTTGAACGCGTTGACGTCACATACGTACAAATAATAATAACCACATAGTGTAATCAGCAAATATCGAAGGCGACTCGAATTTTATGTTTTTTCTTTTGTGTTTTTGCGACGCTCAAAGTAACTGCAATTGAATTTTACGCAAGTTGAAACTTAAACCTTGAATATATATGTATTTTTAATAGACAAATTCTTGGAAATCGTGTTTGCTGAATGTTTGAAAATCACATCAACACGCATAGGTCGTCGGCAGCGGCCTCAATGAAAGTTTCCTCGTTTTGCTTAGGCGACGTTGGTCGAAGGAGCGGCGGTCGTCGTCGTTGCGTGCGTGAATTCACCCGGTCGCGGCACGAAACTTATTCGCAAAGTTGCAAAGTGCGTGTGTGTGTTGCACAAAATTAAGTGTAACAAACAAGTGAGTGAAAATTCGCAAAACATTAATAACAGACACACGAGTACATACATACAGACATACATACATGCGGAAAGGAGGCGCATGCAGCACACAAAGCTTTCGGCTGAATTTAATGTTGTCGAAGGCAACAACCCCCTTAAATTAAAGTTTCAAGCAAATTACAGCGGAATACATATGTAGTAAAGTGCAACAATAACAACACTATCAAGTTTGCTCAGCTGTGATTTACCAAAAAAAAAAAAAAGTGAAAAATATTAAATTCAATTCCAAGTGAATAATGCAAACACGTAACGTCTGTGGCATGCAACAGACACGCAACATAGAATGAAAATAAAAACAAATTGTGGCAATGTCTGCACACGTATGTATGTCCCTGGCACTGTAAGGTGACTTGAATAAATTTTCCAGAGCACACTTTAAGGCGTTAGAGCTTGCTGGCGTAAAACACACAAACACACACACACACAGTGAAATTTGCAAAAAATATGGGGAAAAAGTAAAAAGTGAATAAATTACCACCATAAAACATAAAGTTGATACACCTGTGTCCTTCAGTGCAAAATTTGCCAACTTTTACGCGCACAAATGCAAATAAAAAACCAAACAAACAAACACACACACACATATATACAAATTTTCATAACAAAAATTTACTTACGCCTCACACGCCCACAAATCGAATTGTTGATTCGCTAGGTGTATAAGCAAATGTGCGCTGCATAAAAGGATTAAAAAGGATTACCAAATGCCAGGCACTAATACCGTTACAAGTAATGTATGCTTAAAAAAATATCGGATTGTTGATTCAAGTGAAAAATGAAATGATGAAAGCACATTAGTGTAAGAGGCAAAGCAAAGCAAATAAAACCATTTTAAATTTTCATTAAAACAACAAAATTTTGCGCTTAAAGTGAAAAGTGAAAAGTAAATAAGAAAAGTTGCAGATATTTCCGGGAAATAAATAATAGCCGAAAGTGCTTGAGACAACGGTAAACGCTTTCATCTACGGTTGAGAGGCTAAAATAAAAAGGTAGGATTACCGTGAAGCATTTAATGAAATATTAATAAATGCGCTTAAATGATTTTGAGCGGTGAATGTCGCATAATCGCTGACGCAGGCATTGGAAGGAGTCCCTTTTTATAGGATTTAAAGCTTAAAAAAGTTGACAAAATTCGAAGAAAGAAATAAAAATTCATTAAAAATAATTAATATTAACAAAAATAAAAAAAAAAACAGAAAAATCAATAGAATTTAACTTTGCTAACTAACAAAAATTAAAGAAATATTGTCGATTGAAAATTCGTACAAAATCTTATCTCTAAGAAAAATTTATTATTTTTGTTATACTGACACGAGCCATTTTTTAGGCAGCGTTCTAAGCGAGGTACTAAATAACGAAAGGAATTTAATAAAAAAAAGCTTAATTACCTAACTAAAACAAAAGAACCGCCTCTCTGAGAATTTCAAAACAAAAGCTGAAAAAATAGAAAGAAATTCCTCACCGAGACTTTCTTCTAAAATTCGAAAAATTCCTCATTTTACATCTTTTGAACGAAGAAATAAAAAAAAAACGAATTAAAAAAGAAAACGAAAGGAATTATTTAAGTGCAAATTATACTGGGAATACATAAAAACAATTCGAAATGAACATTTCTTCCACATTCATAGATTAGTCGCATTAGAATGTTACTTAAATTTTCGTGGAATCGTTTCTTGAAAGTTTAGTTTCTGTGCAAATGACATGGTTTCAAGCAATTATTTTAAAAAGGTTAAATTTAGTAAATGGATGGTCAAAAACGCCAGAGAGCTCCACCAAATAAATCTTAAAAAAAAAATTCTATTTGAATTCGCACGATTGTCCCGTGCGACAGCACAGCAACATCTCTAAATGAACTACAGATATTAGCACATTTTTTTCTTTGTCTAATAAATTTTCCAATTTTTACATGAATTGAAACTCTTGCTACATTTTGTTGTCGAGCTTGGAAAAACTATGCTTCAAATTCAAGCATCATTAAAAGCCGGACCTTAATTCTTGGACAAAGTTGTTTTTTAAGCTTATGATGAGACATATTTGCCGGTGTGGTCAGTTAAGAAATCAAAACAACCGTTAAGAGATGGCTGGTGCTCTTTGATGGCAATGAGGAAAGGTTACACAGGATACTATGCCTCATGGATCGGTTGGGCCTTAATGGTGTCAGATGGAGGTTGGCTTTAATTCATGGTAAAGTTACCATCGCCTGAGGACGGGAACGCCATTTCCAAACTTTCTATAGTCCTCTGAACAGAGAAGCTTCTATAAGTCTAACAAAAAAATTTTAGATAAAGTAGGCCGGAATAAGAGAACGTCTTCCAATGTCTTCCCCGAGCCTGCAACGCTATTTTTTTTTTCTTTTTTTGCATAAGTCAGTAGTACTGGCGTGTGATTGGGCCTACAACTGTCGCGTTTCGGCGCCCAATCCCTAAGCCATGTACCATCTATACAGATGTAGAAAGTCTTGTGAACGGCACCATTCATGAATGTGGCTTGAAAACTTCTTTCCCTGATTGGGAACGTGGTCCGTTTTCTGTATTCTCTCCAAAGGTTTCCAATCTGAGATGCTGTTTAGGCTAACATCCAAAATTATAGAAAACCACTTTTTAAATGTGATCGCCCTCTTTGCAGTGAATGTCAACCCTTCCGAGGGTATTACGCATAAAAACCTGTCCCGAGTAGGAGCTAACTGTAAGTCGCCCGAATCGTAGGAAAAACATCAGGTCGTACACCGCAAGTTAGAGCAAGTGCTTGGCAGAAGAAGCTGATCTTAGTCTGGACACATTTCAATCGATAATATCGTGGCTTTATGAATACCAGCAATGAAGAGGAGTAAAATGAAAGGTTTTCAAAGAGTGTCTTCTTTTGCCCACCGTCTAGTTTTCAGTAAATTTCCAGAGCGCTTAAGCCGGCAGTCATAAATTGAATTTATTGACTTATTCTTAAAGCCTTTAATGAAATCAATACAATTTTACATAAATCTCCTACACAAAAGATCCTTCCACTCCATATCAGCTTCACTTCCGCTAAGCACTTTGTTTCGAACGAACGCGCAAAAAAGGAATTTATGAAATAAATAAAAATTGAAAAGGTATAAAGGCTCATAAATAAATTCACGCGAAGCATGAAGACCGGAAAATTAACCCGAAAAAGCCTGGCAAATTAACGAGGCAGCAAGCAAGCGAGAAAAACGAGCAAGGATAGACAAACTGGGAAGACAACACTTGGTAAGGAAGCAAGGAAAAAAATGTATGCCGAAGTTATAAAAAGTGTAGAGGGAAAAATAGGAAAAAAGGGAGTGCGGCACAGGTAGAGGTGTTAGATTATCTGTCTATGACCTCACAAACACAAACTACAAATAAAAATGGTGTCATAAAGCAGCAAAAGCGATAAGCTCCACAAAAAAAAAAACAAAAAAAACGGGGAAAAATACACCACAAAAGCCATTATCCTTTCGCACACATTTTCATAAATCCTTTGTTAGTTATGCTGCTGTATGTGAGTTTAATACCTTAATTTCGGAGCCCGCATGTATAATTTTCACCCGAAATATACACGGACAAGCAAACAAGCTGTAGTTTTTTTATTTTTTTTGGAGCTTGTCTGTTGAGCGCTCGTGTGAAAGGCGTTCGTTTGTGCTTATCAAGGAGCAAGGATCTTATTTATGCCCATGTTGTTCGCGCCTTGTTTTCACTGCACTCTTGCACACTTTTATGTTGTTATTATGATTTTTTTCACTTCCTCTTGTGTGGGCATATTTTCGGCTACGCATGGCTGGCTGGCTGGCTGAGTGGAGTAGACTGTTTGGAGGGTGGCCAAAATGTGGCCCCTCATTTGCTTATTTTGTTAATATTTTGCTTGTATTATGCTTGTTAAAACATTATTAACATATGCATGAATGTCTGTACGTGTGTGTGTGTGTGGGTGACATTCATTATGCATGTACAAATGACAAATAAAAGTTCGGACACACGCATACACATATACATAAACCGTCAAAGTGCCAGCCAGCTTGTTAAACAAACACATACACACCACACCGATCTTGGCATGGTCGCGTTAAAGCTGTGAACGCGTTAACTGGCAGCCGCACACACACGCATATACATTTAACGGTACTTTGCTTGCATGCAATTGTACTCAAAAGTTGGTTGGAAACCTCGTTGCCTCACTTGCAACTGCAATTGCATAGGTGGCATGCAGTGCCTGCTCGTTAGTCGTGCCTACATACAAACATACATATGTATGTACATGCAGACATGCATAAATCCATATCCTTGTTCGGTTTATTTGTTTTGTGTCACGCATTTGTTATGCACTCTCATACAAGCAGCCGCTTTTAAGCTTAGTCCACGCTTTTTTTTTATTTATTTTGTTGCCACTGCTTTGTGCCACTTTGCCGCGCTGCACTGTGTTGTTCGACGCTTCCCTTTTGGCTTTTGCGGTCAGTTCACGTGCTGCGTTCAACTTTGCGTGCAAGTGTATGTGTGTGTGTGTGTCTGTGGTGGCGCTTTGGCTTTTTTGCTGTTCTCCCACTTACTGACACCCCTTTTATTTACTCTTTAGCGCCCTTCATGCTTTTTTGGCATTGTAACACGCTCGTTGTTGTTGTTTTCTACCCGGCATATCCCCTTGGTTGTATTGTTGCGGTTGTGTGCAAAGTGGTTGCATGAAAATGGTATTAATAAATGAGTGACTCTACCCACTCGCTCTTTTTTCGGCCTTCGGCCCACTTCGCACACATACAGACGCACATAACTACATTCACGTACATACATATATTTCAGACAAACGTGCCCATAAATTGGTCAGCCACCTTGTTCATGGAGGTGGTCATTTAAAATTTATGCGATTTTCTTTTAGCTGCTTTATTTACTACTCTGTGTTCCAGGATTATCTCGAAGTTGTTGCTCGTGTGTGTGCGGTAAGCTTTTGACTTGGACTTTACAAAATTTCAATATTGTAGAGTTTTTGTAGTGAAGGCTTTTGGTTATTATTATTGTAGCAATGCTTGAAGTAGTTTCAGTCAGTGTGGCATATTATATTCGCTTGTGTGTACTTATTTGCAGGCTTCGCCTATAGCGCCACCTATAGCAAGCATTTTCAGAATGTCCAACATCGTAGCTCTAAAGCACTGCGGAAATCAAGCTTGGGAAGTCAGGAGCTCAGTCAGCTTTGTATGAAATCTCTTTCTTTTCAAAAATCATTCAGTTACTTTTTCAAAGGCCTCACATGTAATTTTACGTAAAATATTTAAAGCTTCCACACAAGCTCTACAAGTTTCTTCTCACCGCTAAAATATTCACTTCACTTTTTTTCAAAAACTTTCTATTATTTTGCTCTTCACGGGAGAACTTTCAACGCTTTTTTTATTTCCAATTTCTGACTGATTTTCCTTCGTCTTGAATTTAATTCAATCGCTTTGTGTTCGATAAAAAAATGTGTCTTTCTTAGCTCTTAAAATTACTACTTTTGTCCAAAACTTAGCAAAAGCATCTTGTTTGATTTATTCACTTTTTCTTGTTCCTTATCATTTCATTTTCGATACTCTTTTTTAATATATAACTCGCTCTTGGCTTTGATTTATGTGCCGTTTGGAAATTCAAGAGGAAACTTTTTTTAATTTCAGCATTAGAATATATTTCTCTCAAAATATACTCTTTTTATGACGAAGTACAGCAAAAGCAGCTCTACATTTTTTTACCATATTCATATTCAGGTTTTTTCCAAAACTTGGTTGAGAATTGTTGTACATCCAGTAGGGGAATGAAATGCCCAATAAGAGTTTAATGGATAATGGACTGATGTTCTGGCCGAGCAAAAGTTCAAGACTTAAGCAAATAGTCGCTCCATCAGAATGTCAACCTTTCCAAGAGTCTTTCCCACATAAAAAAAGCTTCAGATGAAAACCCATAAGGATTAGTAGTAGTCTTCAGGAAACGTAGTGGTCAAGCTTATTGTGTTTGGATTCGTGGGCACTCGAACTTATTCATGA